CATGTTATATCATAGTTACAGATCGATGCCAGAAGGTAGAATAAAGGTGAGTCAGATAAAGGAAATCCGCAGATAGCTATCTTTCTTTCTAATGTGTCTGACAAATATGATTGTCATCATCAAGCTTCTCCTTTGGAGCTTTGCCTGCTGAAGAGAAAAGGTAGGAGGTTTCATTTTGGGTGGAGACGTCCAGCAGGGGAGTCCTGCAAAAAGGCAGAGGCTGCGACAGGCCACGGTCTGTCATTTGCAAGTCCGATTGGCCATTATTGCAAACAACTGTGTAAACATCAAACTCCGCAGCTTAATGGGAAACTGGAACTGGTAATAAAACCTAGAAAAAGCGATGATAATTAGTTAGAGAATAAGGCCAAGAAATATCAGACATTTTAGGAATTTAAAGTCCTTCAACACATCTGCTCTTGAATTTTAGGCCACAATTTGTAATAAAGCTAACTGCACAGAAAGTAGGCATGTTATTGTTTTTACAGGCAGAAGGGTTCGGTCTGAGCGAGTAAGCCACAGAGCTGCAGGGAAATGCTAAATCACAGCCGGATTTGATCAGTGCAACAGGAAAGCTCTGCAGTGGGAAGGGCTCCTACTTAGCCTAACTACTTCCTGTATAATAGATTAGAGCGTCCTGAAGACGCAGCAGTATCACTCCGCCATATACATCCCCTAAAAGAACCACATCCTAGTGACAATGAAGGACACACATAACCTGAAAATAAATTAAAAGACATGAATCATTCAAGAACAAAGAGAGACATGAGCATCATGAAAATCTGGCAAAATGAATCACATCCTTCTTTCAATTCAGTTTCTTGCTCACTGTAAAACAAGACACCCCCAGTTTTCCCACTATCATCCCGTAAATGTACGTTAAAACTAGAAAGAATTCCGGGAAGGCATACAGGCTCCAAAACCCCCTAACGCATGGAAGTCAACAAAAAAAAAATTACACAGGAACTGTTACATCCTGAGCTAAATGACGTCCATTTCCTTGAAAAGCCCCTGCTCCATTGTCAACGGTGGGCCATCTTACCCTCACTACAAAATTTCAGAGATATGAGCACGCCAAAGTAAATTACACACAAGTAGCCTACGCTAGTCAGTGGCTGGAGTTTTTAATAAGTTACTGTTCTTTCTGCTTGCTGAACTCTTTGGGCAGCCACATTTACCCACAGGACTAGATTTTATTACTGGTCAGTTCGTAAAAGACAACAATTACTCAACATTTGGAAAAATAGCACTGAGGTCTAAAAAAGGAGCAGTTCACGACAAGCCAAAAACTGGAGAGAACCTGAGGCCTGAGCAGGCAGCAGAAAATACTGTGATGACGGCAGCGTCCAGGGAACATGCCAAACTCTGGAAGTCATTTCCTGTTCAACAGAAGACTTTTATGGAATTCTATTAGAGCATCCCACGTCACAGAGGGGGGCCTAACCCCCTCCCAAAAAAAACCTTCCCCCCAATAGATCTCTGTCTATATGTTCAACACAACACACACAGAGGGTTAACAGATTAACCCACCCCAACCATATTCACATTACTTGCCTTTCTTGCTAATAAAACCTTGGCAAACAGTCAGAACAAACTGCAGCTGACTCAACAGCAAAAGGCTCAAAAAGCAGGCTCTAATAAATGCCTCCCTTCTTCTGTTCTTTCTCTGATGTCATTCTAATCTCTCTATTATTTCACAAACAAGTGCCCTTTTCTTATTCAAATCAAACCTACTAGGCCAATTTCCCCACACATCATGATCACGCATTCTTACCCATCTCACAAGAGGAGACTACTCAGTCACAGACACACTGCAGATTCACCCAGTAATAGATATTCACACTGAGTGCACAAAATGTGCCCAGCTCCTTTTTATGATGTCTCAGTTCACTCTTCAGTATTCTGGGGATTTCAGCTGCATGTGTTCAAAGGGGACCCTGCCTCAGAGGACGAATCAATTCATAAAACATAAGCCAAAGTCATGCAATAGACTGCATATCAAAGACAAAGCCACTAACAGACTATACACTGTGGCAGAACAGCTGGAACTGAGGATGGAAATGTTTGAATTACACATGGTACTGCAGGTGATTGATGTTTCTGATCATTAAATGTTAAAAAAAGCGCTCTCTAGAAAAGATCTTGCAGAAATCACCAGCATAATCAATAAAGCACTTTCCTGGCGTTCACATTTTAATCCATTAAGACTTTCAGAGGTAAAACTCAGAGAACTAGCACAGGATGCATGCGAGTAGATGCTGGGTGATACTGATAAAATTCAATACTGTAATATCACAGTATCACATTACCAGATAATATTTAATTTTAAATGAATAAAATTAATGTGCCCATTCTATAACTGTAACGGAACTCAATGAGAGTATGTCAAATCTGTCATAGCTTGTTCTAAACGCATTGTTTTGTTGCATTTTCTTCTCTTGAAATGTCTACAAAGGGAGGCTTACACAGTATGAACACAAGAACATACTATCTTATGGAACAGAATGTCACTGTCGATACAATCTACAATATGCACCACTATCATTTAAACTAAAAATTAAGAATGCACTGATATGGGAATTGTGGGCTGATGCCAATATTAAATATTTTTCCATGTATACATACATTGCCTCAAAAAGTATCTACAAAATGATAATTTTACAAGAGAGGGCAAAAACTTTCTTTACTTTTAGTATAAGTTAATATAGAGAGATTTTATTCCAAGCAATTTTCCAGCATTTCTGTTGGTCCATTCAGTCTGAAATTTTCACACAATGTGCAGCTGCCGTGTTCAAATGATGCATCTCTATTTTTTATCCTTTTTACTTTTCCACATTGGACAACGAAGAATTATAAAATGTAGAAACTGCCACTAGATCCACCTGGATTAGTATTACAGAGAAACAAAACAATTACTTATAAAAAGGTTACAAGTGTGGTAAAATGAATAAAATACAGATGTTTTGGCATAGCAGCTCAGCAATGCCTAAATGATCTGCTGTTATCTGCTGAAAATAAGCTAAATACTAATCATCTAATGCTGGTTTGAAATATCAGTCAAATCTAAACATCTCTCTAATGATCAATATTTTTTAAAGCAAATATCTGCAGATACTAACATGACATCACTCATTCTGCAGCATGATAGTGAACATGCTTGCATGACCCAAAAAAGTTATACCACAGTATAGTAAAACTGTGGGCTAGTTCAGTCCTTAATAGTTTGAAGGACATTCAGTGACACAGAATGTGACGGTCAGACAGCGTACATGCCATACGTGTTTGCTGCTATGTGTGTCTCATCAAACACCAGCAGGCTGGACAAACTTCTAAAAGCAATCTCACAAGGGCATGAAGAGACCCATAACAAAAGAAAGTCACCTGACAAAAGTCACCTGACCACTTTCCACCTATCACAGAGTCCAGAAGAACACGTGACAGCAATCACTTGAGAACAATTTAGAGGTGCCTGTTCTTATATGTGCAATGTCACAGAGGGGGAAGGGAGAGATTAAAACAAGGTCAGTAGCTGAAAGCTCTGGGAGCAGACAAAGGACTTTCTACTACAAACTAGCCTGCTAAATCATAAGAGCCTTATTGGGTCAGTGAACCCTCTTGTGCATGACCATAGTGTCCTTGCACTGTAACAGTTTGTTTCCTCAAAGAAGCTGCATGAACTCCATAATGAGCCAAAGATACTTTCAATTTCTATTTGTCAACTTCTACCCCAATCTAGGCCCACATTACTCTGGCTACAGTGCATAAGCAAAAAGCAATTTCAAAGATCCTAAAAATGTACAGATACGTCACTACAGCATAGTGGTCATCTACGTATTCATTCTTTTTCCACATTTGTTACAACCATGTGTGAACTTGGCTAAGACTACTTTATCTTATCAAGGTTTGGCATCAAATGTGTCACATCAGTAGTAGAGGAATGTCCCAGAGGTCACTGCTTTTCTTTGTAGTTAAAAATAGTAAAGAGGAAAATAAACAGGTTTTACTTGGAGCTGCCGACTCAGGAGTAGTGGACTGTACTTTTATGCATACAGTCAAGAGCTTACAGACTTCTGAAGGGCTTCCTCTTAAGGGTTAATAATTGCCATGGGTTCTGGTCCAGCATACCCTCTCTGATATACAACTTTACTGGGGGTTGGTTCACAAGTTCAAGGAAACATCCTGTGGCTGAAAAGGCATGTACAGAAGGTATCTTGAAGGCTATAACATACACTGAACTACGGACCAGTGTAACTAAGTTTTTCTCTAGACAAGTTAAACTCAATACCAGGGTCAAAGTGTGCTTTGCCAAACAACAGGAAAGTCCACAGATGAAAAATTCAAACAACAATCCATCTGGAAATATGTAACTATCATATTAATAGCACAATCAACCATTCAATACTTCACTAACCTTCTCAATATTAAAATGGCATTGTTACTGCAGAAGGGTGTCAAAACTCTGGTCTGCTTGTTTCTTTTTTTTTTATTCTTTTACAATATTCTATCAACAGGTTATACAAGTTTGTCAAGAACTACAAAATTACTCACTGACAAAGCGACTACAGTTTTATGGGCCAAGAGTTGCCTATTCTGCAATATACAGCTCTCCATATGAGCCAAGCCTCACTAGAGGACCACAAGGAATAAAGGCCTCAATTATGCTCAGTTTTTAATCACAGAGGACACAAAATAAGGCACCAGCACAGGCCTACAACATTGCACAATAAGAAACGTGGCCTTTAATGTACAGAACTGCTGATCACAACATCCATAGGGTCTCACATACAATGGCTAACACACCGCCATGCAGAATAGGATAGAAGAAGCTTCAGTAATGTGTCTTCTACTCCTTGAACTGTGAATGAACAGCCATGAAGCACAGCTCCAGGTTCACGCTGATTAACTGTGCTATAAGGCAGAGAGTGTTTCACAACAAACTAGCTACATTACTGACTGATAATCAACAGCAGCTTTGGGCGGGGGGGGGCGAGAGTGCTTACCAAGTTTCTCGACAAGCTTCAGCATTACTCCGCCGATATGAATTTCACCGGTGACTCTCAAAGACACGTCCTTGTTGAGGTCAGTCACATGCATCTTCAGTTCCCAAGTCCCATCGGCATAGCAGCCATCGGGCATCCGTATACCATCCAGCGCCATCCTTTCAAAACAGACTGTAATCAGTGTTTCATATTAGAAACCAAGTCATGTTTCAGTTGGCAAAAAGCTTCTGAACAGAGGAGCTACAGTAACATCATGGCTGATTTGTACTTTCAAATGATAGCAGTTATGACACAGCATATTTGTAAGGAAATCAATGTTTTTTCTTTTGCTTAGTTACACATGAAACCTTCATATTTAGGTCTTTTTTTTAATTCTGTCCTGTTGGTGGCAAAAGTCTTTGGAGCAGACGTGCTACAGCAACACTGGATTGCACATTTGACCATTTTCAAATGATAATAGCCATAATAAATGTATTAGTACAGCTGTAAAGAAATTAATTCCTCAGATCTATTTTAGTCTTTCATATTTAGCTATTCTTTTTCCATTATGTAGCATTGGTGGCAGCACTTAGGCCTGTCTTCATCAAGCTTTTCAGAGTAGGTGCAGCAGTGCTGATCTAGGATCTGTTCCTGACAGTAAGATCATCCTAATCAAAAAATAAATCTGGTCTTAGCTTAAGGAATACCCTGGACTGCTTTGGTTCCACCTCACTTTCAAGCTTTAGCATTTTAGTTCAGCCTCAATAAGAAAATATCAACACAAATACAGTATGAATGACAATATAGCTACGGATCCGTGGAGGACAAAAGTCATGACTGCCACCAAAAGGATCCCAAATAGAGAAGAGAAAAATGCCTATCAGTCCCTTCCGTTTTAGTTCAGCTCCCAAGCTGATAGATGCTGGATGTATTAAGCTCCACTGCAGCTCTGTAGGGAACACAGCACTTGAGCTCTGACTGGGGTCCTCGTTTCGCTGAAGTAACAACACTTTTTTTTAAGTTAAAGCTGACTAACATAGCTAGTTTTATACTGCTGTACCTCAGCTAGTGAGCGAAGGGCTTTTACATTGAAGCTCTCGACAGTGACACTGTAACGTTCGGTGTTCATAAACAAAGACAAATAAAGCTGAAACAGTGCTACGAGTGACTGATACACCCTTCTAGACTAGCTGCGTTAGTTTTGTATGAATACGAAGACCCGACAAAGTAAAACTGGTCCATGACTGACAAATGAAAAAGAACGAAAGGACAGACGGGGTAACGAAACAAAGGTCGGTAGAAAAGTGCTAAACGTGTCCAGGGCCTGTTCACCTGCGAGGCCTGACCTGATATGTAACTAACGGTAAAGCTAAACTGAGGAAGATGGTTGATTGCGTAAGCAGCTCCACACTGAACTCCTCATGAAAAGTCCGCTCAGCGGGAACAGCAAGCGGGTTTGTCCCCACAACAGAAACAGCGTTTTTGAAGTTATATTTAACTCACTGACCATAAAGAGTGAGAAACCGGAGGAAGAGATACTTATATTTTTCTATGTAACGTTATATCTCCGGTCAGAGCTCAGTGAACGAGCCCTGCGCTTCTGAAAACGACACAAATATTTAAGCTACAATGACGCTCCACTCACCTTCACCAGCACGCTAAACCAAATCCACAAGTGCCACTTCAACTTCCAACGTTACGAGAACTGAACACTTTTCTCTTTCTTCTCTTCCTTCTTTGTTTCTCTTCTTTAAATCATGTGTTCAATTCTATCATGGAGAAAATTTCCAAAAGGATTGGTCCAGCTAAAGTCCCTCAAAACTAAGACCTCCTGAGGGTTTAAGCTAATGGAGTCCAGCGGCCGTCCCTCTCTCTCTCTCTCTCTCTCCCTGTCTCTCCCTTTCTCACTCTTTCTCTCTCTGTCTCTCTCTCTCTCCCTCGCTCGCTCTCTCCCCCCCTCTCTCCACCATAACGTCACTCCGTGCTCCAATCCCACTTTTCCTTTCTAACGCTGCGCTCACTTCCCCTCACCCCCTCCTCACTTAGCATCTTCGCACTGTAGGCTAGTCTTCTCTGAAGAGTTTTATAATATCTCTTATTGTCGTTCCTCTCCTAATTTGCCAGTGTTTTAAATTATGTTTCCATATTTTGTTTATAATCACCTTTTATCATGTTTTATCCTGCGTTTACTCTGTAAGAGGTCCAAAGTCAACAGTTCATGGGATACTGCACTGGCCTATGAAGCAGCATTTATTGACCACTATAATAGACTACCTTTTATGGAAATAATGCTAGTGTTGCTCTACTATGAGCAGGAGGAAAACAACACTGTTCTTTTTAGGATTTACACACAATTAATCATCTGAAATACAACCTGCTGGTGTAGTTAGCACTGGATTAGCATAACTGGAGAGTAGCTGTGGGCTATATTGTTGTTATCAGTGAAGATTAACTTGTTTTATTCATTACACAGGAGTAATAATTAGGGCTATGTTTAAAAAAAAAAAGAAGAAGAAAAAAAGAAAAAATAATGAAGAAAAAAAATTGAAACTGGTTATATGTAACCAAACCTGTACACTGTGTTCTTTCCTAAGCCTTATGTGGGTAATGAACAATTCCTGTTATCTTCTTGTCCTTGTATGTCCATTTTTCTCTCTTATTTCTCTCAGGCACACCAAATCTGAAAAAAAATTGTGCTACATCCTACTGCAGCAGTCCAAAGTAATATGTGGTTAATTTGAAATGATTTAAATAATAATAATAATGATAATAATAATAATAATAATAATAACAATAATAATGAAGAATACAAAATTAATTTAAAATGCAAAAAACATAGAGCTCATGTGCAGGCCATGGCCCAATAAAACTGATTGCAACTCAGTCAAAACTGCTTAAACTGCTGTGTGAAAATAATTACCATCTATCCTCAACATTCATTTAAGGTATAAGAAGGCCAATGTAAAGGACACTAAAACACACAACACTGTTCTAATGAATTAAATTTCAGAAAAAAGTAAAATAGAACAGCTTTGACTACTGAAGTGAATAAGAAATGTATTGAACATTTCTTAGAAAAGCATTTCTTTATCGCTTGTTGGTCCATTAACTGCTCTCTCGCCTACACAGGACTACATTAGCAGGCCTTCTCAGACGGGACAGTACAGCATGAATCATCGGGACTGTTGGCTGCTCCAGTGCAGGACCGGCTTCAGCTCAAGAATGCGGGCTGCAGCCTTGGACTGCATCAAAGCGATTTATAACCTCTCTCCCTGCTGCTCTGACCCCCTCCGCAGCGTCTGGCAACACAGCCATTGCCTTTTATAGGCCGTGTTTTAATTACAGTGTAAACAGTGAGTGAGACACAGCGCAGGAAAGTGAAATGGGGGCTGTGGATGAGGAGAGGCCTGCAGGAGGAGCCCAGAGAGTCAGTCTCTGAGTCACACTGGAGTGGAAAGACTGCCACATAGAGGAACACTGATGTCATACACTGGACTGAGAAAATGCACCATAAAAGTATTTTGTCGTTCTACCCAAAATATGTACTTTGTGTGGCAACAAGCAGTTAAACTAGGTTTATTCCAATCAAGTTAATTATTTCATTAATGAAGTGAAATGTCAGTTCAAATCTCACAAAGATTTCAAATCAGCTTCCACTCTTTTCTGATGATGTTCAAAATTTTAGATACAACTTTGAGGATGAGAAAAGTTTACTCTTCTTCTGACTGTCTAACATTTCACAGTATAAAACATGCAAAGGCAGTAAAGAGATTATGAATCAAACAGAGAGGTATTAGTATTAATTAGAAGAACAAAATTCACATATGGACTCAATGTAGGAGCAGAAAACTGAAACAGCTCACATTTTGGGCTGGGCTAATGGAAAATTCAATGCTAGTACCTATAAAGAGACCAAAGAAAATCATGGAGTGTCTTGCCATCTGCTGGCCAGTTGACTGAGGTAGTCGACTCTGCACTGCGCTACTAAACCAGTGTTTGTTTTGGACTGCAATTCTAGTTCGTTTTTCAAGCTTGTGACATTGTTGACATCCACATGATCAGCAACGCTAATGCAGTCTCAGCAAGTGGGGTTCCCTGTGCTCCAATTCATCCCCTCCTACACCATGAACCTTAGCCCTCGGTCACAGGAACTCCAATAAGTCACTGTTGCAGGGCCCTCTCCTCATCATGAGGCAGCTGTATGAAACATCTTGAAACAGATGAAACAGCCCAGCAGCAGGAACATGTTCAGAAAAAATACAAAATGTCAACCAACTGAATACCCCTTCCTCACTCCTCCCTTTCCAAGCTATAGTAGAACCTACGGTGGCCGTCATGTTTTTGCTTCTTTGATGACGAGGATTCGCCCTCCCTTGCTTTTTCTTGTGCTAAATAACAAGTACGATCCTTCATTTGTCAAAATTTGGGTTCTCAAAACGGTCAGCCAGCACTGACAGCAACTGCTTATTCTTCTTCTTTCTGTTTTTACAACCAATGCTTGAGCACCACCATATTCATGCTGTGGCTTCAACATAAAAATGTAAAAGGTGCTCTTTAGAGCCAGTATTTGGTTTGTCCATTCTGGCCTACTGTAGAAGCACGGCGGCACAACATGGCAGCCTGTGTTGGAAGAGGACCCGCTTCTTATGTAGTCATGAAGGGCTCATTCTAAGCTAACAACAACACGATTCATAGTTACATGTGATTACTGATACTACCGACAGCATGGTTTTGTAAATTTGCATTTATGCTAATAGATCCCCCTAAATCTTACACACTGCACCTTTAAGGGGTTTAGTAGCTGATGACACTACATATTTTTATTCATCATTCTGTCAGAAGAAACCTCGTATCTCTATTTTTGTCGCTTTTTAGTTTTTTTTTACATAATTTGAAAATGCCTGTTGCTCTTAACGTTGTGTGTAAATGTCATGATGAATGGACCAAAAGAAACGGCCCGAAATGACTTGGAAAACAGTCTGGTTCCATTGACTTGCATTGAAAGTAAAGTATGTTTTTTCCTTTTCCTATAAAGTTATTTTTTGGAGATACGAAGCTTTCTTTCGACAACATTAGATATCTTCATGTCTAATAAGGGGGAAGTTTTAATAACTGAGGCTGACCCTTCAGATGAGCTAATGCTAATGCTAAATCTAAGAAAATTAATCTTGACATCATTTTGCAATGTTATTTATCTTTAGACCTCATATTAAAAGAAGTGTTAGCAAATGCAGTAAACCAAATAAAGTTTACCTTACCTTAATAGTTTTCACACAGAGCAGTGAGTGAGGTCTTTCACATAAGCCCATCCAAAACTTTTTCACATTCAGAAATGAAACCGTTCAGGTGATCAGGATAGTGTGTATCTGAACGAAATGGTCCTAAGTACCACCTTTTCACCTCTCTTAGCTTAATCACTCTTAATCACTAATTTACTACCACTGCAGTTCTCACTGCAGGCTTGTTTTGATGAGTTATGTTGGAACTTTTCTTCACTTGAGGGAGAATGTTGCATTTAGAGAGATTATGATTGGCTGAGAGGCGTGTTAATTATTGGTTGGCAAACAGTCTTTTGCCTGTAATTTTATAACTTTTTCAAACTTTCTAATTAGTCTGTAGAAATGGGCCAACTTGTTTCCAATTCAGAAGGATGAGCTGATAAGCTATCAGTGATGTTAAGGCAGTAATAGTTTGGTTTCTATTACAGTAACAGCTCCATTTATCTCTCCAGGCATTATGAAGCCCTGAGATCATAATTTTTAATCAGTTTAATGAGCATCTGCTACTAATTCCTGAAGGTTATTGTTTGCATTCTTGATGTTAACGGCCACACTGAGCTTTCTAAACAACCGTCAGTGGCTTCTGGAGGCATGATCGAGTATTCATAATCCAAAAGACCACAGTATTTTGAGACTACCAAGGCACTGTGGCTCATTATCAGAAATTGCAGGCAGTGGCACATGTCTAATTCATTGGCTTTTATCATCATGAAATGCACAGGAGGCCTGTCTGAGCAGCCTCAGTTTAGACAGTCTTCTAAATATTTTGAAAATATCTTTCACTGTGGAATTCTGTTCATCCCACACACATTTCAGCACTCCTCACTTACACTGTTCAGACAACTTTATTCTATTTATAATCACTACTGAAATGAAAAATTGGGGTTCAAGCAAAGGACAACACTGCAGCTGTATGAAGAAAAAGAAGCAGATGCTGTATTCAAAAAGGTAATGCTTTAATAAACTGAAATAAATACAGTGTTATTCGGATGGCAGTTTGAATCCATTACAGGCATGGGTTATTGCACAGCTCTCTCTTCCAAGCTCAATGCCTCAATTGTATTTAAATAACAGTCGTTTGGGACACTTCCCGTGTTTCTGGTTAATCAATAACCAGTTGTGGATGACACCTGCTGGACTTTTTGACTGAATTGTACAGAAGATGGTGGAGAACACTACACCTAGGAGACTAGCCATCAGTCTCACCATGGACAAATCAGACAAACAAACATGATTTTCAACATTCAGAGATGCCCTGCTAAAAGGTAAATGAACAATAAAATGGACTGAAGTAAAAAAAAAAAATGTAGCCTAGATACCACAGGATTCAAAAATATCAGACAATGAATCTTCATTCCCCCAATAATCTAAAACTCAGGCATGCATCAGAGCAAGTGCACATCTTACTGATGTTGTGTTGAAGCAGAACCCCTTATTATGCTGGCCTCCAACATCATTGTGCTCATATCAGTTGTGTGGAGGAATCATTTGGCTCTGTGCTTTGTGTAGGCTCAGCTCAGAGTGGTAAAAAGATCATTGATGCAAAAAGCTTACTGTGAAACTACAAAGAAGTTATTGTTTCAAATTTTTCCATTAGCCAGTTGGTATCACTGGATCATGCAAAGATTCTGAGGTACAGTCTGGAGGGAAATTGCAGCAATATGGCCAGAAGAACAATACATTCAAAACAGACTTTGACATTTAAATGGAAAACAATCACTCAGTGACTCAGCAAAAGTGTATTCTCTTCATGTTACTGTAATGCAATTTATAAACTATTAAAAACAGCGAAGCATATCTAGGGGGTCATTAAATCAGTTCTGTGCAATTTATAGAGTACAGTACATGCAATGTCTGGTCCTTCATTAATTTCTGTATCTGCCAACAACAACAACAACAACAACAACAACAGTGAGTGATAAATAGCTCTGCTTCATCCAGTGTGGGAGAAAAGCCACGTCAGCCTCCCAGTAGTGAACTGGCTCTGTGGTCCTCAGAGGCAGCTTGGCCATTTCAACATATCAACACAGGATTAGTACCTCACTAACACTTACTAATAACTAAGTGCGCACAATGACAAAACCAAAACGGGTGTTGTCTTAATTGACATCATATAGGATGCATACTGCAGCCCTTGTCTTGAAAAGTTCCAACAACTGTGCAAGAGGGTAACAGATGGTCAGCCGTGATGAATGTAAAGAATGGTACAGCTCAACGTTCTCTGGAATTTCAAAGACAATGTGGACACAATGCAGACTAAACAGAATAGACAATGTCTGTTAAAAGTTAGATCCATTTCATTCTTTACTGCTACTGTGAAATCACCTCGGTCATTCTTTTCTGTGTGCATATCTAACTTTAACATCTCACAAGGTGCTTAAAAATGGGTGACTAAAAGCTTTAACATGAACTAAGACTAGCTCTATGAGCAGCAGGTTTAGAGACAGCAGAAACGTTTGGCCTCCAAGTGGAGTATCACAATGACGAAGGGGCATCACTATCAATCCCACAGTCAACAACTAAATAGATATAAAATATATATCTCTTTTTATTACTATGGGTTTCAATGTAAACAAAATAGTGCCTGAATATCACACTTTCAGCATGAGGGAAAGAGACATGAGAAAGCACTGACAAATCTCTGAACCCAGTTATATACTATACACATGTTCTCACATGACCTAAAGACTATTTAACTGCATAAAGCATTTCTGCAAATATCAGTTCCTTTCACTCCACTCTGCATTTGGCTCGGTTTAAAAAGATTATGTACAATGAAAAGAGGGGGGAGGGTTCTCATTAGAGCTACATAGTAGTTCTAATTCTTCAAAGTAACAATGCACCAGCACACAGTAGGCTTAATTCATCAACACATGGTGTGATTCATTACTCAACATACTGTAGGCAGTTGGCAACAGGTCAGATTTGGCTACAAAAAACAGGGCAGCAGCAATTTCCTCTTCAACCTCCAAGCAAAGCAGAATTACACAAGACCTTAAGCACTACTTGGACTTAAGAAAATGCCATGGTAAATTTTGTTTCACTACAGCACCATCTGTCGGATACGAAAAATGCTTATTATTATTTATCTCTTTATAGAAAAAGGACATTGCTTTTTGTTGATGGGTTACACCAAGGCAAGTTCATTCTTCTCCACTTTGCAACTGGTTTCAGAGTTAGTGAATAAAGACATCCAGTATTCTCCAGGAATATTAAAGTAAAAATAAACGTTTTAGTCTTGATGTACTTTTCTAAAAAAGAACACAGAAGACTTTCCAAAAAAACCTTTAGGAGATATATCTGTTTAAATAAATATGCCTACGCTGAATGTTGCGTTGAATATTTGCTCTGTAACTGTCCTTATAAGTGAATACATTATCTGTTCCTCCTCAAAAATCAATAACTTGAAGTGTCCTGAAACTTAAAAGTAGACAGAACCAGACAAAAGGAACAGACACTGATGGGAGAGTGTGGTCCAGGCTTCTGTTAGGGTCTGCTTTGTAACTACAAGGCCTTGGACTAAGCTGTGTCACTGGTGCTACGCAAGCTTTGTGAGCTGGACTGAGGATCAGGGGTAGCAGAGATAAATACCTTGTACACTGGTCCTGCACAGTCCAGTCCACCCTAAGCTGAGCAAAGCACAGCAACGGTTACAAAACGTTCATAGAGTTATAAGTATACGCCATGCACCTAGTGTTTCTCCCAGTTAATGGGTTAATAGGAAGGATTGCTGCATGAAGCAAGAGGGAGTTGGGATCAGTCTTTGTATGACAAAGAAGCATTTGCATGAGAGGCAAAGTGAGAGGAGGCGTGTGCTTGAGTGCTTCCATGCTCTGCGAGTGGACATATCACGGCATTACTCAGGGTCAGGATTGTCTTCAGATGTCTGAGATGAGCTCTGTGATTTATAAATGAAGGTCAGCAGGAACAGAGCAACATCATGAGAGGTCCAGTAGGCTGTGTGAGAGGTGACCGCAGACCAGTAACGGCTCTCGACCAAGCCCTCTCGCAACTCAAAGTCAATACGATGCTCCATCTCCACTGTAACAACAAAAACACTCATCGTTATTGCTTTTGAAAATAAACATCAGGAAGCTGACCTTTACTACTGAATTCTTGGCTGATAACCAATGCTATCAGGTAATGATGCTGGATGCTTTTATCAGCAAACCATCCCATTTTCCCAAAATGCACTAAAATGTGAATATTTCACATGCAAATGTATGCACAGACCTGCAGTGTCAATGATGGTGGATGTAGACTGGGACATGGTGGACAGTCCATATGCAGACTGGCTCTTCTCTTCACCTTCCACTGGCCCAGAATCCACTCCTGATGGTTGGCTACTGGAGCGTGAGAAACGGGAGAACAACATTCCTCCAATGCCTTTTCCAATGCTGGCTGCACCTGGGCATACAGCAACATCAAAGTTCAGAGACAACATATATTTCTAATATTAAGCAGTTTATAACAAGGCATTCACTTGTATTTTCACAAAATTCTTCACTTTTAATATAGCCTCCAGAAATTTTCTTTTGACTTATGCTTGAACGGCAAAGAAATTAGGTATATTCATCTTATGCTGACATATCACTGCAGAATTCATGCACTGTATTCTCATGGTTTTATCACATGTCATGGACAAAATATAGACTCACGTGTTCCTGATTTTCTTCACTTTCCATTTGCACATGTAATGCCACTTTAAAACGGACATATAAAAGACGCAAAGGCTATTTTTCCATCATTTACCACTAGATGGCTCTGTTTCCATCTGCCCATCTAATCCTTATGTAGCTCAGAGGAGAGACAGGGAAGCAAATGTTCCGACATTCACCACAAGATGGCGATAAAATCTACGTCCAAATCAATTTCTGTGACACCAAATGTGCAAGTGCTATAGCTTTTCTCTGTATATTGAATAACATAATAAATAACAAACGCTGAAATGTGAATTCTTATCATTTAGTTAGAATGTGGATTCTTATTCTCTAGTTACAAAGTGGATTCTGTTTTTATTGTAAGTTGCTGATGTTGCAGGTGTTGATGTTGCGAACTGCAGCAATACAGACCTTTATAAAACTTCACATATTTTAAAAGGTTCAAAGATTTTATATTTACCAGCTTACCAAAGTTCTCACATTCCTTCTGACATATTTTCCACTTTTTCCTCTTTATGATGCAAAAATTTGATTTTTTTTTTTGTGTAATACTAGGACATCAAAACTCCTGGCAACACGCAATTTCATATACTAGTGTTTGAAGGTTTGGAATCACTTAATGATTGCTGTTATTTTATTCAATAATGATGTATATTGTGTAGATTAAAATACTATACTCTAGACATCAGAAAGTATTTCAAGCTGTTTTTTTCAAATTTAAATTTTTTTTGTTAAATAACCACCACTTTTCAAATATGATGTATTCTGGATGTTTGCTAAAATTTCTAAGCTATCTTATTTTAGAACTACCTGCAGCTTTATTCATAACTGGACATGTCTAAAAATTTCTTTTTCTTCACAGCTTGCTATTAATTATATGAAATCTGTGAGTAGAAGTATCATAATGGAACCCTTTCATACATTTATTTGAAACAATCGGTAAAAATATTTTTTTTTATTTACTGAAAACCTCTGAATTGTGATTCCAAACTTTTGAATGCTAGTTTATGTAAGCTTTACATCTGTAGAACAAGTTAACAAGTTCTGTTATACCTAGTATGCTGGCCTTGCCCAGGTTGGTAATGGACTCGCCATAGTGTCTCCGGGTCATTACAGGTGACGTGCTGGGGCTAGGGAGGCTCTCTGTGTCTGAAACTGGGTCCTTCACTGGGTTCAGAAACGTCGGTTTCATTTCATCATATGGTGTGGGGTTAGTGGTGTTACACCTACAGAGACAATTTAAACATATTTCTATTTCTTCAGCAAAATATCACTGCTAAAAATGGACATCATAACAAAATGAGGAGCCATCAGCAGCTTTACCTGATTTTTTGTACATTTCAAATGGAAAACATTTTAAATAAAACTCTGGCAAATAAACAATGAAATGATCTAATGCAAGCAAGGCAAATAAAATCCTTGTTCATTACCTTCAGCAGGTAACACTTACCAGTGTATTTGGACAGGTGCAATATTGCTATAGTGCTTCAAGACAAGAGGTTCCAGTCGATAGGCCTGCCAAACAATAAACAAATAAATAAAAACATACACCAACGAAATCACTGTCCCTCACCACTCAAAACATTGCTAATATTTCATACTAAAGATGGTTCTCTCACCACTGGGTCTGTGGGGTGGAAAATGTTGAAAAGGCGCTGGCAGATAGATTTGGGCATGATGTGGTCCTGATATCCAGTGTTGCCGGGCCGAATGCCTCGCAATGCCAAGAACACAGCCAGAGGAGAGCCCATGCAGAAGTAGTTCTCCACCTGTGGGATGGAGATACAGGGATACTGTAGGCTGAACAATGAGCTCCACTAAAGTTTTAGGGCAGGTGATGTTTTTATAATTTTACTGCGAAAAGTTTGGATATATAGCCTTTAGCTTTTGTTTGAAACTAGCATTGCTTGGAGAAGCCTGCAGTGCTGATAATCCTGTTGGTACCACTGTCCTGGCCAGAAGTTGTACCATCATCACCACTATACCATCAACAAAGAATCAATTTACATTTAATATTGCCAATACTTTTCAGAAACGAACGACCTAGATATGGTGTGTCCAATCTTATTCACAAAGGGCCAGATTTCATTCCAAACAAGCAGGAGCTCACCTGCTTCCACTGGTTTAATCAGTTGGTCAGGCTTCAAACAACTGGTCAGGTGAGCCCCTGCTTTGTTAGAATGAAAACCTGCAGTCACACCGGAAAATACGGCTCTGTCATACCTTAAATTTCAGTGCAGGGGGGGCTAGAGGTTTAGAAGCCTCCAAACCCTGAAGCTGATCCTCCAGTTCTCGCAACCTGACACAACAGTAAATACAGTACAAGAATAAGAATCTTAAAATTGACATAGATATGCATTTTTGTAGATGTAAAATAGCAAGATAAATTTTTTACAAAAATACCAAAACCAAACAGGACAAATTGTCAGCATATTGCAATCACACAGTACCTCTGTCGGGTAAGGTGCACTTGCTCCAGCAGGTGCCGCTCCTCATAGCTCATCCAGCGCAGCTCTTCCTCATCAGGCTCCTGCTGCTCTTGCAGGCAGAAGCGCACAGGGTCCCAGCCCGTCATAATGTCATATGCGATCACACAGCCCAGGGAATGGGAGATGATGGACACTTTGCCCCCCTTTTCCTCAAACTCAGGGTTCCGAGAGCAGAACAACCTGTACAGGCGGTTGAGTTCCTGGGTCAGCCCTTTAGTGATCTAGACAGGAGAGAAGTATGGATTGGAACATAGTAAACAAGCCAGGGGATCTTTAGGCCTTTGACCTTCAAAGTGTACCAGTAAAAGTGTATCACAACACTTCAGTATTTGACACTGACACAGAGGGTAAAATGTACCTCATCTCTGTAGAGAGGACTGGTGTAGTACATGATGTCCATGGCACTGCTGTTCAACAGGTCTCTCAGCCCTCTCACCTTATCTGGGGTGATAGAATCGACTGTATCTATAAGAAAAGCAGCAGCATGTCACTAAACACTTCTCACACACCTCTGTCTGAGAAGCCGAAATGCTTGCTGTTTTTAACCTTTGCTGCTTTCACAAACTAAATGTATCACCACATACCAAGGAAAGACTGATAGTGACGAGCAAGCAGATCATAAATCAGCATATATGTGTGTGTACGCAGGTGTTAGTGACAGACAGCCAGGTGCAGTTGATGTAAAAGCTGGATGAGAGCTGTGAGGACAGGCTGTTTGTGAAATATACCTCCATCCAGCACCAGCTTGGACCGCCATTCTACTGGCAAAAACTCAACATGCTCGTCCGTGTGCTCTGTGAAGTGTTTCTCCTCCATTTTCCTCACAGCCTCTCGCAACCTGAAGACACACACAAACACCATGTAAATGCAGGCACAGTAACAAGAGTAGACAAATAAAATATTTGCACTGTCCACTCAGGCCACTAAGCTAATGAATCACGTGGTTAAGAATTTGTGACCACATGAGTAGAAATATATTTATCATGTATACATCGTATTTACAGTTAACAAGAATGCCTCGGAACAAAAAGAAACAGTTGTTGTTTTGTAAAAAAAGTATTTATTAATATCTTTACTTTAATAAGAATGTTGCTGTTATGGTGATTGTGACCCTGCTGATCTGGTTTGCCCTGACATCAGATCTTGGTTATGTCATTAGGTAATGTTTAGCTACTGCAGTGATAGGCTTGCAGTAAAGCCAGTTTATTTCCCACCTTGTTATATGTAAAACATTATATCATGAAGCAATTTTAGCAAACTTAAGCAAATGGAATAATGTCTGTTATTCCAGGCGCACCCTGGTCACCACACCATACCAACTGTTTACAGTTAACAAATTCTGACAAAATCTGATTTGATAGAATCAGTAACATGCCTAAACATGGCTAAAATGTGATATGTTGTGTCTGGGTGCACCGCGCAATAGCCAATGTCTACCTCAGTAAGATTCACTTTCAGCCTTATTAAAACATGGTTTTGCTTGGTTCTTCTTTGTCCTGAAAAGTGGCAATAACACTACTGGGCAATACACACACATACATACATACACACATAAATTTATATGCATGTGGTACTGCATATAAATATACCAATATACCTCTATGACTAGATTTGGAAAAAAAAATGTGTAAAACATAATATATAATTTAAGCAGGATAATTATATACTAGTCCTTTTCTAAATGACTTTTCAGTGATAAACTCTTCATGCTGATCTGGCAGACAATTTTATAAGATCTAACCTACTCTAGTGGGAGCTCTCCTCCTGGACATGGTCAATCAACTTACTATTGCATTCTTCAAGCCCTAATAACCAAAAGCAGATCTATTTGCAAAATTGGTCACAATGACACTTCAGAGAGTTCAAAAAAGTTCAAAGATCATAAAACTTAGGTGTATGCAGTGCATTTCACTGTACTTTTAAAAATGATTTGCATCATGATACCACTCCAGCCCTGTGCATATTTGCACAACAGTGGAAAGGTCTGCCACCTGGTCCAGAAGAAACGCTGTTTAACATGCTGCATTATAGGAAAGAAGTATATAGGCATAATGTATATAGGAGAAACATGGCAGTTCCAAGAAAGGCTTTCATACAGCCATCGCCAAGTCTAATCACGCACAAGCGACAAGAGAGGAAAAGACAACAGAAGGGGATGGGGTGCACGGTACTGGACTGGAGTGTTAACGAGACTCTGCACAAAGACATAGTCACTGGGGCTTAGGGCTGGAGGAAGAGACAGAGAAGTAGAGGGAAGCAAAAAAAGAAGGGAGGAGAAAGGCTATGACAGTAATGATCTTTGCTCATTCTTGCAGTAAAATGAGTAATCTGAGTCCCCCCTCCCATTCAGAGAGAGAGCGAGCTTAGAGCCTGGATTGGTCTACTTTACCTTCTTAACACCCTAAGCTCTAAGCAAAGAGCAGACACTAAAACCCACTAACCAGCAAACATCACCTTCTGCCTGGCTCCCAGACAGCACAGCAAAAAACAACCAGCAGTACGGACAATAACCTGCAGTACACTTGTATTCTCACTTAATCTTTGCTAACAATAGAATGCGAATGCATAATACTCTTAATAAACACCAACAGGCACTGTATTGTAAAGAGTACCAGTCTTTCAGGTTTACTTGCTCCACTTCAAATTTAAATGACAGGCCATGTCCCCTCATTTTTTAATGTTGGAGTTTTAATCTCTACATTTATATAGGGAAAATAATCTATAGAAACATCATGCATCTAAGAAAACATGTCTTGTCCTGTTCAAAGACATCGGCACGGTACACATCTCACAGAAAAGGTCTGTTGACTTGTGCTGACGAGAACCGCCTGGACTCCTAATGAAAAACAAGTCAATTATCCTCACCTGAAAAGACTTCATTTCAAAGGTCAGCTTTGGGGAAACTAACGAAACACACCAACAAAAAGGGAGAGGAGCCACAAAGCAGAGCTGCAGGTGGTTATAACAAAGTACACATAGGAGAGAAATGTTTAGAATGGCTCAGACCAAAAACCAATAGCCTCAGGTGAAGGGCAGCTACACTGTTGTTTTGGGTAAAGGGGATCAGAAAGTGAATGGCCATAAAGACGCAATGGTAAATTACTGTTAACAAGCTCACTAAAGTGTTCTTGTTGTATGGTTAAACATTCCATATACAATGTTGTCAGTTTAAGTTTCCAACAGCTGTATAAGAAAGGCATATGTATGGACTAGTTTGAACCAACTTGCTGTTACCCCCACCTGTTCATGAAATCTTCACAAATGTACATCTTACGAACGGCTGGGAACAAGCACATTCCAAACAAATGTTCTCTCACTAAAACCTGCCAGACAGGTCCCACACATCTTATAATACAAGACTTTACAAGCAAGCTGTTCATGACTCACAAGTCAACAAAACACACATAAAACGTAATGCCAATACTGACTGATCAAGTGGAGGGTGCACTTATCTACCAGTAAAGACTGTTGATATGCAGTTATAAAAGAACACACTAAGATAATAATTCAATATCATATACATAAAAATCAGCAGTGTATATAAAGTATTATACTGTTTGAAATCATTGTTTACATCATTGTTTAATCATTGATTAAATTGTTTGAAATCATTGTTTGAAATCAGTAAGCAAACACTACATAACATTGGAAAAAATAACATAAGCACAATACAGCAAATAAAAAGAATTTCTTGTTTTCAAAAAAGTAGGTGGTTAGAAAAATACTTCATTTGGTACCACATTTCTCTCTGACGCACCTAGCCATGGAAAGAATGTTAAATTCCATCAGCAGCACCTGATTTAACTTAATAAGGCACTAATTAGTCAAACTAGGTATAACTATAATATCGGGCTGCCATGAGGAGCAGCTTGAAAATGGTTAAGCAAACACACTGACATATATAAAATCACTACTTCTTGTATTAAATGTTATTAGTATTTGTTCTAAGCATATCTGGAGCATTTTAAAATAAAACAGATCAAGAAAGTGATACTTTTTATCCTAATTTATGAGCAACTGGCTACTGGCTGCAATCACATTTTTGCAGAGTAACTTCATCTTACTGTCACTCCAGTCAATCACATCACAGTCATGACCCAATATGAACAAAGTGCAGTCACTCTTTTACATTTTTCTACTGTGTTTCACTTAAACATACTGAGAAGAGCCTAAACATAACCCTCAGTCTATGTCTTCTGTGAGGACAGATTACACACAACACTATGTTGTATAAACATAAAATTGCACACTTCCCGGTCAAGTCATGACTACTTACATGCCTGTGTTCTTGATTATGCGATCTTTGTCCATTTTCTGTCCAATGCCATGCACCACAAAGACAATGTGTGTTGTCTGAGGTGGCTTATCTTCCAGAGAGGCCTCTTCCACATATCCACGATGGAGTCTGGTGCCACTGCTAGAGGCTGCAAAAAAAACCAAAAAAAAACATTGCATCAGGAAATTATTATAATTCAAAAGCTGCTCCACAGGGGAGCCTACCTATGTTTCTAAACTGGCCTGGGAACCATGTGATTGTTCCAACCAAAAGCTTAGATGAGGACATTTTGTATTATATTGTAAGCATGTTGATCACAAAAATGGCACCTCAATTCTTTGCTTTATGTCTATGGTCTACGGGTGTACCAAATTACTACACTGTCCTAAGTCACAGCAAGCCAACAAAGGGATTTTGTGGCCATCTGGGGATTGGTTTGTGTGTCAGCAGCATAGACAGTTAAAGGCTGCCAGATCCCTGAATAGAGTAGAGCAGTGGGTTACAGGATGCGTTGTCGAGTGGAGAGATGAGCTCAATCGGAACATGATGGTGCATGTGTAAACACTGACCTTTTGAGAAGCCTAGCTTCTGAGTGACAGTGCGGGCGATCTTTGAGGTGGTGGCATCACTGTACAGATACACCTCATCAACGCTGTGCCAGTCAACGTGGCTCCGACTCAGTTTCAGGCTGTGGATAGCTGTGGCACACGGAGAGCAACAGAGGGAATACACAAGGTAGAAGGGGAGTAAGAGCCAGACAAACGGAGAGTGGCAAAGGGAAATGGAAAGGAAAATAATAGATCAAACATTCCACTGAACTCACACAACATGCACAACTGTAATACAGTCATTACCCAGCAAAAGAAAGTTAGGACATTGGAATAGAAGAAGCGGCTTTGGCCTACTCAATGTCCTGATATTTCAGTTCATACTTGCACTGCACACATAACGGGAAATGCTTTGTTCTTAGATGATTTGCAGTGATCTAGACTCAGTACCAGATGCCTTGAGTTCCATAAAGATATGTGGTAATCTTTTAATGTGGAGCTGAATATAATGATAACTGGTTTGCTGCAGAGACTCTCGGCACTTCACTGTCATCAGAAAGTTCTTCTTAAACTTTATGACCACCCCTCTAGTTGGTCCATCGAATAAGATCCTGTAACAAGTCCCTGTAGGTAGACAGCAAAGCGTTTAGAAGTCCGAACAAAGCACAGATTTCATACATTTCTGTATGGTGACTATTACTATGATTAATATTATTATTGATCAACTTAGTAAAGCCATTTAACATATTTTGTTTAAGCTTGCTGATTTCAAAACAAGACATACTCAAGTTAGCTAAAAGGTGTGAAGCCACACTGTAGTCGTACTACAACCAACAAGTTGTGCACTGGGGAGCACTTTACCCAATGCACATGCATCTCTATTTGAATAATTTATCACTGATGTCCTATGTAGCTTTGATTAGCTGGGCAAAAAAAGCATGTATGTCTCTCAAGAAAGGATGGCTGATTCTACAGCCACGGCTCTTATTTATTCAGGCCTGCAATTCAAGGCTAATAGAAATCTGACTGGATCCAATTTCAGCCATAGTGTGCCAAGAGGCAAGAACAGCGCAAGTAGGAACTGAAATATCACACGAGAGGGAACTGAAAAGCAGTCATCCACTCTTTCTCAGAAAACAAAGAGACATTAATAATAAACGAAATGACACTGGATGAGTAAATAGCATGAACAGCACTTGAGGTGTGAAGGTGACTCTGGGTCCTCAGCTCACCGCCATCGGAAGAAAGCACAGTCACCAGACGGCCTGCACTCTGAGTCACTCAACCGGGATTAAACATGAAAACTAGAGCTCATGCCAAAGACACTACGAGGACAGATGTTTTAGTTTCCACGTGACTACACTAGACTCGCCACACTAAACAAGTAAAATTGACCTTGAGAAATCAGTCTATTGCATATAAATCTGTGACCTGTTCTGTGAGATTAAAAGATACAGCAAATGCACATTGTTAAGAAGAAGTCTCGAAGACAAAATAAGCATTACTATTTTTGTATTCTAATGGCTTCGCATGTCAGCATTTCTAAGGGACATGCTGTTCTAGTTGTGTCCTTCATTACAGGTGAGCAGAGCAGACCAGGATAATACAGGGAGTGTGTGTTTCTATTCAAGTCCCTCAGTGCTGTTATCCCTGGCTCTCTGCCTCACAGGAGAAGGAACTGAATCAATTGGGTCCTGCATGTCATTTAGCATGGGTGTCACGCCGGTGTCAGATACTCTTTTCTTGTTGGTGTGGAAATTAGCTGTGGGCCCTGAGCAGTGAAGGCCAGGGACAGGAAAAAGGAGTGCCAATGAGTGAGAACTTGGTTCAGAGAATTTGTCTCTCTTAACAAAGGCATCTAAGCAAAGGAATGTGGCACTTCTTTGGGACAGTCACATGGTTTACTGCATAGCAGACCTCTTTGTGTGCCTGATTCTTTTGGACTGGAGCTTTCAACTTACACAAACCCAGCCAACTACAACGAAATCATAAGCTTTTAACCCTTTGGAGGACCCACTTTTTTCTCTTTTCCAGTTCCAAGCGTTAACAAGAAAAGGTTATGAGGACATTTAGAGTTTAAACTGAAAACAATCAATCACATAATCAATTTTGTCATTTTCATTTTTCACACTAGAATATACTGAAGACATGTCAGATACGACAGAATCCAGAAATTTACTAATAAACTCCAGCCATACAGGATACTAAACACAATCCACCACACATCTAGAAGTACGCTGTAAAACAGGATGTTCTTAGGGAATAGTGAGGCTAAATTGCTCCGCATTCTCTAGCAGTCTCAGTATGAATAATGGATGCATGTAAGAATACATACTAATATGAAGGTAGAACTAATCCCATTTTACAGCACAACAGGGCACATCAAGGTCAAACATGCTACTGAAAATCTGAGTTTTCAGAATACAATTTAACAGAGTCATCTGCTTTATCAGATATATAGACATATACAGATGTATCGTTTTCCTGTATTCCTGAATGCATGTTTGACTCTGTTACGTGCCTGGCAGTGAGAAGAATAAATCTAGACTATGAGCACAGAATCAAAGCATAGAGGAGAAGCAGCAGTGATCTACAGAGGTAAGAGGCTTAGCAGGGGCTTCCCCAGCATGACCAGAAAGTGTAGGGAATAAGAGGTCTTGCTTTGTTTCTGATGAGAGTATTACCCCACTAAACCAGGGCAAAGCTCCTTTGCACCAATTAATGCTGGGAGCATAACAGAACAGGCTATTGTTTGAACCCTCTGAGCTACGTTGTCTTCTTTGTTCACATGGGAAAATTACACTACATCAATTACATGGAAAAAAACTCAGGGGGCCTATGAAAAATCTCAGCAATGCAATTCAAGCAAAAGTCCCAGCCCACTGTTAGATCAACATAATAATGTTTTAATAGTTTTTGAGGGAGGGAGGGAGGTCCCCCCCCCCGCCCCAGAGTAAATTTTGTGAATGGGTACAATTTACTCCCCTTCCACAGCACACACAACATACAGCTCTTATGGTGCAGAGGGGCATAGTACACACTGTTTGAAGGAAGGATGAGGGGCCCAAATGTTGCTTCTCTTGACTAACATACTGAATACTTTGTGCTGTTGGGTGCCACGATTTATTCATTGATACAGAGCAGACCTCTGAAGTCATGTGTCTGTCCACCACTGTCAAAACATGTCACCGTCATACCCTGTGGTAACAATAATGTTCCAAAGCCAGTAAGTTTTGTCCTATGAACATTTGTCTTCTGAGTTATAAGGTCGTTTGGCAGTCAAAATGTGAATATTGCCCATGTTTCAAGTAAGCTAGCACTCCTGAGCATTGAAATGACGCTGCATAAAAGTAAGTCTACTATTAAACTTTAACATAAACATATAACAACACAAGCTACTCAAGCTGTGCTTTACTACTGCCAAAGCAGCTTACCTACCACATTTGACAAAGCTTGCTGGTTTGTGGGGGTATTTTGGAGAGGATGTTGTCAGTTTAATGCACAGCAGTGTTAGCTCGCAGGCAGCAACATTCATATTTTGACTCTTTAACAACCTTCAGAAGATCCAGTAATATTCAGGGGGAAAATGTACATACAGCAAAACATATTGGATTTGGAAATTTTTTCGGACAGGGTATGATAGCTGTGTTCTGGAGTTCTGGATGCCAAATACAGAATGACGAACTTCAGAGGTCTATATGCCATCTGGCAGACAAATCACTTTAACATGGTAGCACCGCACTCTTCCTGGTTTAAGGAGAACACACCTACGAATTATATGATGTGAGCAGAGCATAAGGGCTTCCTCATAAACCCAAGAGAGTAGCCAACAAACCAAAGTGACAAACTTAAATCAGAGGAAACTAAACCTACGCTAATAAAACCGCCTAGGTCTTAGATCTACAACTAGGCCAAACTCTTAAAAGGAGAACAAGGCCAGTGCTTTAGAAGTCTACAAGTAGTGCTACAACTTCTAGGATTAGAAATTTGCTTAGAAGTTAAAGGCCTGCAACAATTTTGGCCAAGTACTACAAATGGTGAGTTCTTCTATTCAGAAAAACAAGAAACACTTAGCTCAATCCCAATGTATAAGGGACCTCTAAGCACCAGGCCATGATGTAGTGGAAAATAAGTATATGTGGGCCTCGTTCTAGAGCTAGCAGGCTCAGCTAAAGGGCAAAGGAGAAAGTCCAAACAAAAGATAGGATCCAAGGGGAGTTGTAGGCAAAGACGCTGGAATTACAATACCTTGGCAACGCTTTCGCTTGTGACTTTTAGCACTCGTCTGATATCCACTCCATTTGAACAGAAAGGGGAGGTAGAAAGGAGGGAAGTGGGAGAGAGCTAACAAACCAAAAACAGTAAGTGGTCATGGTAGTGCCAAGTGTCACCACTGTAACACTATAAGCTTCTGCAATATAATTCCTGGCAAGTCTCTGTACACTTGGCTTTACAAGAGCTATCTTTCATTTAAACTTAAGCAGAGGTTTATGTTTTCCCATAAGAATACAGCTCTTGTTAGGTGAGGTAACAGCCATTTCAAGACTAAATGCTTGCTGTTGTCCATGACAGCAACGCAAAATACAGGGCATTCCACTATGTGTTTAGTGTATGTTAATCATGGAGCACAGACCAGGATGGTGTAATAAGGAAATGAATGGTATTAAATGTTGTAGCCCTTTAATGAATGAAAGGGACTTTTGGAGGACATATACCTTTTTATGATACAACTGAGTTTAAGAAGGACATTTCTTTTTAGTTCTTCTAATATCAAGATGATTTAACATTAAGACAGCAACGAAACAATGAAAACACACAACACAGCAGTCAAAACCCTGTGAATGACAGTCATCTGAAAATAAATACAATTCCCACATCACATTTGCATTGTTCTAAAATATGCATTGTTCTCAAATATTTCAAGAATCTACTATTTAATATTTCAAATGTAAAAAAGGCAGTCTAGTCAAACATCTAACTAATATCCATTCATGTTAATTACAAGTTCAGTCTAGGGATGCATGATGACATCAGGATCATGTCAGTATCTGCAGATATTTGCTTACAAAATATAGTGTATATGTAAATGAAAATGATCAGAAATATGCATCAGCCTACAGGTCCCATATTGGTGCAGCCCTAGTTCAGTCATAAATTATTAATCAATAAACACTTTACATCATGACTTAATGAAATACTTCACACAAAATGCTAACATTTCTAATACTGAAGTAAACCTAATATGGCTCAGTAAGCTCTATTTGCATATTTGGGTGAAGTACTCTTTAAAGAGAGCAATCCCTTGCTGTGCAGTTGTTTCTAGCAACTACTATCACACATACACACACACACACACAAACCTTCACATTCAATAAGGATCAGAGTAAATGACAGAGTAACAGTTGTTGAATTACATTCAACAACTACCCTAAAACTAACCAGAGTGAATAAGGGAACCAGAGCTTCAAGTGTGTCCCTAACACACAAGGTCACCCCTGCCACATGAGCTCAGATCACACCAGGCCTCTAGTCTCTCGGCTCCAGGCTGTTATGCGAATGTGACAAGTTAGCTAGTGCAGTATCATGACCATTAACTCATAACCTATGTGATGAATGCAACAGCTAAATAAACAAACTTTCCACACAAATGTGCAAACTGATTTTAGTTACTTGACTATTACTGAATTCCAGAATCCAAATAACCTATCAGACATTATTTTGCTGTACAGTCAGCTCTAACTGTAAATAGACTACACTAGTAACATAATGAGAGTAATCAGCCATGCAAAGACAAGGCACCACTGCCATCATTCTGAGAAGGTATATGATAGTGTCTTGAAACTGCATTCCTGACAAGCTACTATTATTGTCCATTAGACACAGCCTTGGAAGAAGCTTTCAGACTTGCAAATAACAACAGTGCTTCTCTCATCAGGAAAAGGAGACAAAGTAGCTGAGAGTATCAATGGAGGCTTCAGCCTCAGGAGAGCTAGAGTGTTTGGGATATTTAGCAGACCATCAGCAATAGTCAATATCTCAACTGCACAACCCAAGCAAACATACAGGTAAACAATCTGTTTGGCTAAAAGTAAGGGTAAGATTACTGCAGTCTATTACAACATCTCAATCAACTGAGTATACTTTGTACTGAATATCCTGCCTCTAGCATATATTAATTATGGCACTTAAAATGGATGGACATTGACACCAGCTTCACCAGGTTCTCAAAACACCATATCTCCAAAAAAACCCAGACACCCCTTCTAATTAGTAAATTCAGCTACTCCAAGGTGTACCCACTGCTGACACATTGGTTCAATTGTGCACACACAGCTTGTACAGGGAGATTCACTTGAAAGAGGCCCGAAAATTCTGCTGTAACTCTCGTTAGGATGAAGCAATCTGAACCAAAAAAATAGCAACATACCTTGACATATATGTAATTGATTGCATTACATGTGATGCTGGAGGTGATCTCCATTTTCTGGCAGACACATGAAGGGGTACGGCGGTATGCACCCGGAACTCTCAAATGGAGGTTAAACGTTGTGACGGCTGTCCAGCGCCTACCTCATCGCTCTGACGCAGGGGCATCCTGACTTGTTCGAAGCTCCATATACTGAGAAGCACATTGCACGTTGTTTCGTACAGATTGCTTCATCCTAGAGAGAGTTATTTCAGAATATTTGGGGCCTCTTTCGAGTGAACCTCCCTGTATAATCACTATAGATAAGCACCGCCAATGGAATTGGACATGATTCCAAATTCACCATGCTCAATGCCAAGTGTCAGCGAGAGGGCTACAAAGATAGTAGCACTGGGCTTTCAAGCAGTAAGATTTCAATCTCTAGAATGATGGAGCACCACTGAATACATTTGGGATGAATTTGAGTGTCATTTGTGATCCATAACTAATCATCCAACAGCAACACTTGACCTCACAAATGCTCTTGTGGCTGAATGCAATCAAATCCTCCCTATAAACTCCCTATTAACACTGTTGATTTCAGAACAAATATTGGATAAACCTCTGGGCATGATGTGTACAAAATCTATATATGTAGGTGGCGGAATATCCGTTTTAGTTTCTTGAGTTGATCGATCCCCTCGAAACTGCAATGGCGATTGTTGGCATTCTCAGTTTCTGCACATTTTTCTGTAAACTTTATACTAAGTCATGAAGCTACTCAGGCAAACGCCATCAGCTACTAAACAAAGTGGTAAATAGTGCTACCCCAGAGGGTTCATCTGATTACACTCGATGTATGCGTGTAACTGTTACGAATATTACATAATGTAAGTATGTATAATAAAAATTATAAGAACATAATTTATATTGTTTATTAGTTCCTCATAGCACAGAAGTTGAAACAAGGCTGCTGAATAGAGGCTAAACTGACACTAGTGGTGTGCAGGTTGCATTGCTAATCTTACAGTTTTCTTATTGCAGCATAAAAGCAAGTTATATTTAATAGGTAGTTATCGTGAATATAAATGTTATCATGCTAAATATGAATATTCTTTTACTCAAAATGTCTTTTCTTTTCTCCTCTCTGTTAGTCTGTCTTATTTATCAATTAAAATCAATTCCCATATGAGTTGAAGTCCTACCCAAGCACCGACCATCTATTAAAAGGGGTCACTCCTGGAGTTATTTTGTTCACAATACATGGTCCATTTATGGGCCTATAACATAATGAACAAGGATTTTTGTATATGTATAAGCAAGACAGGACATTAGGTGAGAAAAGAACATGTGGCCAAATAACACCCACCAGGTACACTAAGCATTAACAGTATCTGTGACTTTTTTTTTCTTTGGAAGATAATGTAAAATATTGGATTATTTAGTTTCTATTACTTCATTTGTCCCTATAATACATACATACTTACAATAAAGATATACCATTCTGTTTTTTAAAGTTTCTCTGATGTAATAACTGGTTTGTCACTACCCTAAAAATATTTCATGTGGTAGCAATTTAAGTGGTTTATTTCAACTCAAATAAATACTTTCAATGAAACAATGTAAAGTAAAAATTTAGTTTAGATGAACAAAATTCAACATTTTACATCAATTCAAACCTAAAAACACTTCAAAATCAACTTCTGCCATGTTCCACTTTTTCAGTGTTCTTTATTGATCAGCCAAAGAATAATAAACTAATTACCATAAGGAACACTATGCATGAACTGGACATTCTCCTGAACACAGACAGATGTCCCTCTTCATGTACATACAAATGAATACAAACATATATGAACATATATGAATGAAGCAGTTTATTAGGAAATTCTATGGGCAGCAATTATCTGGAACTGCTGCTGCCACTGTGGTAGACCAAGGTGAGTAGTGAGAGAACAGTAGGTCACAGATGTGTTAGAAGATGTTCAATACATAACCATAGACATTTTAACACTTCTCTATCCTACCTTTTGCAAATTAGAAAGATAACATGTAATTTATCAGTAAAAGTAGTTTTGCCATATTCTCCCGTGTTCCATGTGTAATCGAGTTTAGGCTCTTGTTTTGTCCCGCTCAATAGTTAATCTGATTGGTCCACTTCCTGTCTACAGATCATAGCTGAGCTCTGATTGGAGCTCTCTGCATAGTTGTCCTGCCATTTTGCCTGTACAGACTATGATTTAAACTTTCGTTTATAGAAACAATGTGCACCATTTTTTATTGCTAACATTTTTTCCTGTGTCAACAAAAATATTTAAGATGTAAATACAACCTTATATTACACATTAGGGACAAGTGTCCCATCAAACTTCTACCCATATTTATGGTGGTATTTAAAGCTCCAGCCAAGGTTCACTGCAATTAGTGAGAGCTTTTTTGATTACTTCACAATCGAGAGGCTTTTGATGAATAACAAGGCATCCACAAACTAAAGGGTGCCCAGTTTTTTTAATAACCTTACCGCGAGTCCTGGGGCAGCCTTGTCACGTTCCTGTAAATTCTTGCCTGAATCTCAGAGTGAGGTCACATTTCTTATTGACTTAATACTCACGACCAAATTCTTTGACAATAACATTTTGATAGCAATGCACAATGGCATTGAGTCCCAATTTCTACATTTTATAAATGTTTAGGTATTGACATCTGCAAGTGTGTACATGAAAACACTGAATATCAGCCCATGATTCCCATATTGCTGCATTCCTACTTTTAGACTGCACAACACTGCCACGAAACCAGCAGTTTGTATTTAGTTCTGTGGCTAACCTAATGACTTATACAAGCTCTTGTTACAGACACACCCATCTGCTTTGCCCCAGTGCTAGACAATTTTGACAGACTGGAACAGATGAACAATACTGCAGGCCTGTATGTGGACTGGGAGCAAACATGGCCACAGTGTGAGCCTGAGCGATGGTGAAAAATGATCAGACAAAGTAACCAAGGCACTCCTTGAGAGGCCCAATGAAGCTGTTAGCTGACCCTTTCTTGTGATTAAGCTTGCTGACATCAAAAGCAATTACTGCTATGGAATTAGGTGAGTGAGATTTAATAGCAAAGGTCCCCGGGTACCTCCAGGCACTGTTAAATAAATGAATCATGTGAGACTATGAATACTCACTGGGTGCATGTAATAGAGAAAGAGTGACAAAATTAGGGAGTTTCCACGCACACACTCACTTCTCCATGGCTTCTATCACCCTGACTTCCCTTAACAGAAGAAAAAAAACAATGAGTTACTTTGCTGAAGTGCTGCTCTTTAGAAAACACAGCTTAAAAATAGCTGAGTATGACAGCGAACTTACAACAGGAGAAGGCCCATTTTAGCCGTCAGCTTAAATGATAGATATTTAAGCTTATATGCTCCTTGCATCTATTTCTTGTCTACACAGAAAGCTTAATCTTGCTCCATAAGTCCATGAGATCTACATGGCATGCCAATATTATGACTCCTCCTTAAAAAGAATACAGCACCTATACCTAGGTCTTGGTGTTTCACTGGTCCCACTGTGTGCACTGCAGCAGTGATGCATTAGTGCAGCAACGTACCAGCCATATGTCTTCTGCTACATTAGTCCCTTGTTGGCCAATGGAGAGGCTTTGTTCAAGCACAGCTAGCTCTATTCTCTGCTGCTCAAGTAGCTCTAGGCGCTGGTCAGCACAGTCCATGAGATGCACTAAAAAATTTCAGACATACTGGAATATTAGATCTTTTCAATTCAGTTCAATTAACGGATGGCTGGATGCAATGCTGTCAACTGCCTGCATTAAATTATGTTTCAATATGTGAAAGTGACTATTTTTACACGTCCTTGGGTGAAATGAATCATAGCAGATAGAAATGCATGTTGCATGAGACTGGATATGTATACAAAACATGCCTGCAATGGTCACAGCAACACATAATTGCCCCCTGCTCGATCTTATTACTGTGGAAAAAGGATCATGCCTATGGAATGTCATGTGAAGGCAACAACATATGTGACATAAACATTCACCCACACTTCCTTATTTAAAGTACTCTATAGCTTCAGGGGGAGTAGATATGACCTTGCACTGCAGAGGTCTTAGACAGCTTACAATGATCCACAACAGAAACCTTACCAGCGTAGAGTGAGCTGCTACTCCATGTTTTTATTCACATAGAGAACACCACTTTTTTTGTTTTTAACATTTAACAAGATTTTACTGCAGGAAACATAAAGAGGAAGAACACATCTGACTCATTTTAGCAAATCTCAAGTTTCACTTGAGAAGAAATTCATTGTTCTCATTCAAAGACCAGCTACCACTTCATTTACTAATATGATTGTTGGTGTTATTGTTAACAATATTTTTTTCATTTCAGTAATAATCTCAACATTTTGATAAAATACCCCTGAACAAACCCATGACACAATAAGATACCATATAAAAATCCCACAAAATTTAAATGGCCACAAACAACTGCTTTCACGATCAAACCTCCTTGATTGCAGCATTCACCATATAAACTCCCCCCGCTCAAAGGGGGCACTATGAAGTACACTGTCGCTCACAGACCATCCAAGCTCAAGCACTGCAGGGCAAGTTACATAGCCTTGGTACATTCAATATAGATTCAGCTCTGAGATAAATCACAAACACAATTTCACTTCACAGACACACAGCAAACCCCTAATAATTTATGCTTAATAGCTTTGAGTACTCCTGCTTTCAAAGGGACATAGGTCAGTCTGAGTAAATTAACTAATGTCTGCATCCGCCTTTTAATGGAGCTCACAACTAATCCAGACAGTATCTACCCAAATCTCGTTTAACAGCTGCCATCCCATCACGGCATAATACATTTGATTCACATACAAGACCACCTAGCTTTAAATATAGTCAGTTCTGAGAATGTGTTGGGACAAATGGAGAGAGGGAATTTTCTTATACTATCACACACACACAGAATGGAATGCTCTCTTTCCCTTACTATCAACCTCCTTTAATGTGCTAACACATCAACTACGCATTTTCTTACCATCTTTGGTGTCCACTGTCTTGACCACTACATCATTCTCAAAACTATCCTGCATCTGTTGGCCCCGGAAACAGGTTAGGTGCTCTTTCTCAATGAGGTCACTTTCGTCCTCCTCCATGGGCGTCCATGTGCCATCTATAAACCACTGGCCCCTCATCACTGGGATGTGATCCTGCTCTGTGGGGATGAGACACAACTTCAATGAACAGGAATTTATAACATAGGAGTCCTGTGATGACTCTCTAGAAATGCATACGAGTAAAGGCCATGAGGGTTTACAGTAAAGGTCTCCAGAAAGACTAGCTGATCTTAAATCTAAGGCTGTGTTTCATCCAAGTGCCTACCAACTAGGGCGCTAAATAAAAAAAAATCCACAAATTCTTACAGTTCATAAACAGAGGTTCAGGTCTCTTACCACTGGGAAGTAATTCACAAATCAAGAAAAGTTTTGACACTATGTTGATAATTTATCACTATCCTAATAAGGTCCCAGGTACTGTGGATAAGGCCTATGTAGCCACTCTTTAACTTTTGAAAGCACTTCTTCATGTTATTACAATGTCATTATTTATTAATATAGACCTTGCTTTTAGTGTGCTCAAGTGTGTAATAATGGACATCAATGAACGCTTGTGACCTTTTAAACTTGATCCTAGAATTGCCCACTAATCTCAATGGTCAGTATGTCAGTGGAGCCAAGCTGTTAAACCCAGAGATTACAGACACCATACAGCATCTGGCAGAAGAGCATCCTGCCAAAGCACTCCAACACTAGGGTGTTTTTGTATATATTTAAACCTATATTTTCTTACTACAATGGCCATTTGTGCAGCCTTTGTAATGTTCTATAATACCAGAAGACGTACAAATATTTACAGGAGAGTCAAAAAAGCTGAGATCATTACCAACAACTAACTTGATTTCATAACTTATCAATAACTACTACAATTGACTCATCTGATACTTATTATTTAATGACACTTCTGTTAAACTGAGATTAATATTTACTGAGAAAACCAGACCACTAGTTATCTTCGAGAACATTTGCAAAGTGAAAAATTAGTATGAAAAGCTCTGCTCTAAAAGAGAACTGCAATAATGTGGATCCTCCAGTTCTGCATAAAGTTTCATAATCAATGCCAGAGGATGCAATTCAAGTTGTAATTAAGGCAAATTTTAATAAATTTAAAATGACTGAACATTAGTACTCACGGTGCCAGTACACAGGGTAACACTCTTTCTCCCTCACATCCACCTGATAAAGCCCTCCTCTGACACACACAGCATCAACACTGATGCTGATATCTTCATCTCTTTCCTCGGCTGATTCAGGTCTCTCCACCGAGGCCCCTTCGCTTTGCCCCATGGCCGGCTCTGGCCCACATGTTCCCACCTCACCCAGCACATTGGTCGTGTCTGCTTCCTCACTTCCAGCAGCGGAGGCGCTTTCCTGATCGAGCTCTACAGGACTCAGTTCACAGAACTTGCGGTACATGAGCTCGATCTTGAGAGAATCGTGTCCCACAAAAGGCTTCCACGTCTTCTTGTCTTCCTTATAAAACCACCGGACCTCCTCTGGCCCGAGCTCCGTGACCACCTCCAAACGGTGCCTGGAAGAAGCGCATCCGGAGCGGTTTCTCTTCCTGCTTTCCAGTGGACTGACGTTCCCGTCACTCTCACTGTAAAGCAGGTGATTGGAGGCATCGGCGTTGGTTAGGTAGGCGGTGGCGGCGACGGCTGCGTCGGAATCGGCGTTAGTGGAGCTCCGGCTAGGGAAACCAGGGTAAGGCTCCTCCGGGCCTGGGGTCACGCCGTCCGCAGTAGCCGCAGCGCGGTTGCGACTACGCAGAAGCGGCGGCAGGTGTCTCTCCACGCCCGCCTGCACAGCTTGCATCCCTCTGCCAATGGATTCGTCATAGCAGCAGACGAACACATCATTGCCAAGGTCCCAGTCACTGCTGCCAAGAGAGGAGCCTCTGTTCTCAGGACTCTGCGGCGGGCTGATGAAAGGGGTCTTGCTCGTAAAACTGTTCATTACTAGCTAATGTCAACACTACTCACTATCCCGTCGACGAGAGCCAGCCTTTTAGCTGCGAACGCTAATGGACAGTACGTTGTCATAAGCGCTAAGTAGCATTACGCACCTATAATTCATACAAAACTATATCAATCAAGCTCACAACAGTGCGGTAACACTGTAACTAAACTTATCTCAGTGTGAAAATGTAAAATACGTGCCATGCTAGCAGGCTAACATACGCTTTTTAACGCAGCGTCAACTAACGACCGTTGAAATCTGTCAGACTGACAATCTGCTTCTCTTCCTCTCTCTGTCTCTCTCTCCCCGCAGTGACCACCTCCACCTACAGCTGTGACACTGGAACCTTCTCTGACGGAACTTTCTTGATTTTGCCCCACTCCGGTCCCTTTATTTGCCCTCATTGAGAGTTCTTGCCCCGCTGTCTGTCGGACTTCATTCGCGAATTTCGTTCGCTTCCAAACAGCTCGCCGGCTCGCGCGGGCACGAGCGCGTAATCCCTCCGCCTACGTCATGGCGCACGCAAGCCCAGTTTTTATTTTCCGACGGGAGCGCGCAGCGCGCGTCGTGGCCGCCACAGGTGGGAGAGGTGTGGGAGTCTGTTTATGGACGGGCTTATTACAAGCTTAACCACACTGAATTTATTTTCACTCAAGTTCTCTTACTATCAAGCCACAACTGCATCATATAATACCAACCTTTGTTTAAATGAAGACTTTTAAGAAGTGGTTTGGGGGATAGTTTAAAGCAGGCGGCGAATCAGGCTACTCTTAGGGTCTCCATCTTCAGCAAAGACCAACGGATATTTATATGCAGGAAAGCACATCGCCTTTTGTATGTTTAGGTATTATACTGATCCAGTCTCTGCTTTTTACTGTGGATATACGTACATGTCCTCATGAGGGCGCTGTTGGCCTTGTTTTGATGCAGTGACCTTAAAACTTTGCTGACGTCGGAGGATGGAACGATTAACCTCCAAAACCAGGGGTGCACAACTCCGGTCTTGGAGGGCTGGTGTCCAGCACAGTTTGGTAATTTACCTGATCAAGCACAACTAATTACATTCATCTGTTAGTTTCCAGTTTTAGTGGGTGAGTTTGAGCAGGGGAGCCACCAAACGGTGCTGTATACCAGCCCCCCAGGGCCAGAGTTGTGCACCCTAGGGGTCCAAATGTTTGCCCGCACATCAATTCCTCACTTTTAAAACTATATAATTTGCATATTAGTTTCATAATGGTTACTGAATAATGAATAAATAATAAATTGAAATAAGAAGTGTTAATAATAATAATAATAATAATAATAATCCTAGGGTTAAGTGTGTTAAAATAGGTTGCTTTGTTGTAGTAGGCTACACAAACTGAAACTCATATCATATAATTCAGGCTATCATTTGTTTTCTGAATGGCTTGACATATTTTTCTAAATCATTATGATATAATGTTACTTCCTGTGCATTTTTATCTCTGAAAAAGGTTTTCACAGCCTGCAATTGGTGGTCCAGAGTTCTCAAACCTGGAGCTCCTTCTGCAAGGCCCCCACTTTTGGGCTGCTGAGCTGAGTTAGCTGTGTCAGATGTATCCCCCTGCTGTGGTCTGAGAGTGCTGAGAGCATTAACAAGCTGTCTGTCACACATCCCGCTCTACATAAACAGGCACACATCTGGGCAGATAGGCAAATTATGCTCCAGAAGGTCAGTGTGAAGCATCTTCTTATTGGCCATATTTTGAGCAAAACTGGGTACTGAACTTTGGAGAAAAGCTTCCTTGTCTATGTCACATTTCTCAACTTGAGCAGCCTTTGAGTGCATACATACACATCTCAGTCTCTGGAACTATTGGGTTCTTATGGGTTGCATGCAGAGAAACAAACGGATGTATCTGGTTAAAGTGTTTACATGATCTGAAGGCTTGGTGTGGGTTGCAGATGCTATGCATCCAGCCCGCAACTTCACTCCATATGTAGACCAGCAGTCCGATTATATCCATCCATCACTAATACTCCAACGGTGAGGCAATGTTCCGTGTATATGGAGTAATAGTAGGATTAATCATCAGTGTCTACATTCAGTTGTCTCATAATCTCGCTAAACAAAAAATCTGTGCTGATTGATTTATGACAGAAATCTAAGGTTACAATACAGTACATGTATCCTTTTCATTCTAGGTCTACAGGCCTTTTGCCAATAGCAGATAGCTAGATAGACAGACAGCCTCTGGAGGCAACTTCAGCACAAGAACTTCATAGATTGGTTTTTCATGGCTGAGCAGCCACACACACACAGGTCTAAGATCACCATGCACTTTGCCAAGCACTGGCTGGCATGATAAATAGCACACCACCATTGGAGCAGTGAAGACTCTCTGGAGTGATCTTGAAGACTGAAGCACGAATCTGGTTTTGGCAAATGCCAGGAGAACGTGACCTAAGTGGGTGCATAGTGCCAATTATAAAATTTAGTGGAAAATAAATAATGGTCTGGGCTGCTTTTCAGGGTTTGGGCCGGGCCCCTTAGTTCCAGTGAAGGGTAATGTTAACGCTACAGCATACAGCGGCATTCTTGAGAATTGTGTGCTTCCAGCTATGTGGCAGCAGGTTGGGGACAGCCCTTTCCTGGAATGATTTGCAGTGTTTGGTGTGGAGGAACTTGACTGGCCTGCACAGAACCCTGACCTCAACTCCATGCAACACTGTTAGGAAGAACTGGAACACCAAGTGTGGACCAGGCCTGAATGGAAGTGAATCCCCACAGCTGAGTCCCAAAATCTAGTGGAAACCTTCCCAGAAGAGTGGAGGCTGTTATAGCAGCGAAGCGAGACCAAATCCATATTTCTGCCCATGGTTTTGGAATGAGATCTTCGACAACCACACATGGTTATGATGTTCAATTTGGATATGATTATCATTGGGCCATGTAGTGCAGATGGATGGAAACTTTCTATCTTCTTCCTGCAGCAGCAACAAAAAAAACTGGACAAAATGTATACATCTGAAGAAAAAGTATAAAAAATTACATAATTTACAAGACTTACAAGAGATTTAAACAACACTATGGATTTACTAATGTGTGCTTGAACTCAAGGGAATCTTTACGTATAACTTAAGGTAATCCTTAATGATGCTTTGACAATGAATCTTATACAACTGAGCATACATAGATGTATATAACTTTATATAAATCTGTATTTAAATCTGAAATAGAGCATGTTTAATGTTTGTGTGTGCTTGATGTCTGTGAGTTGACCAGGTCTGTGTGTATACTACATGTACTTGTGGGATTGTGTTTGTGCATGTGTGTGTGCTTGAGTGGGCGCTTAGATGTGTGCTGGGACATCCGATCTCTCACTCGCCGCACGCCACACTTGCTCGCAGGTGGTCCATCCACGCTTGGGGGCCGGCTGCAGATTTAATATTTCATAGAAACGCAGCATGCCCTGGACGCCGTCATTGAGTCCACATGGCAAGCCGGAAAGCACCTCTGTGAACACTTGGCTGAAATATGTTGCCTGCCAGCACCCCCTCCAACAGCCTCCTCACTAGCTGGGCCTCACAATTATAAGCTAGCCACGCAACTACAGATGTTGGCAGATGTCTTTAACTCTTTGGCTTCCAGCTATCTTCTTCACTGTCCTGCTTACAGTGGCACCTTCACTGTTTGCAGTTTCTGGGAGCAGTCCAAAAAAGGGCTGAGGTTTGTGCAAACATTGCGGTTTCATTAAAAGCTCCTTGCTTAGTTGGCAAAGCTATTTTTGAAAGTATGTGGAGGTGACTTTCTTGCCCTTTGTTGCTTAGTGTGCAGATGTCCTTTAGTGCACCCACTCCCTGATAACCTTGAACTGTAGAAGTGTTATCTTAATATCAAAACGCTAAAATGTCCAGCAATACACTCTAATTTTTATTTTAGCTGATCTAAATGCTGTTGGGTGCTAGAGTTCAGAGAGTTCAGTGCATTGTTGGGTTGGACATCTTATAAAGACAGCTGTAAGTCAAGGTAAGCACTCAAGAGGCAAGAAAGGAGCATCTGCACAATTCAAATAGTGGTGTAGTGACAGCACTGGGGAACACTCATGGCCTTCTAGGCCTTCAGAGACATACATATCTGTAATTATAGTTCATTTTATTTAATACAGTGATCATGCTTGTTGTATTTAAACTCTGCAAGTATTGTAGTACTACTCTTATCTCATGGTTCAGTTTTAGTTGGAAACAAAAGGGTTGAATTCTTGAACCAGCCAATGGAGTATTGTCCAGTCAGGATTATTTTTCTGTGGTATTTAGGTAGATACAGCTAAGCAAGCTCTCTTATTGGTTAGGCCTTCAGAAGCTGGACTGAAGGCCTGACAGATTAACCACTAACATAATTCAAAAGCGACAGTAAAATCAACCAATCACGGTTTGATTTGGAACCAATTTTGTGAATAAATCGCTCTAGGCCTTCAGAAATGGAAAACAGCGGCAGTTCTATGCCAGTGTTCTTTCCTGCTCTTTACTGTGCTTTAATAACTCTACAACTGCTTCATACAATGTAAAATATATGTCAATATGTGTTATTTGTTAATACACTGTCAAATAAAACATTGAATGTATGAGCTTCAAATGTACGCTTATTCTAAAATGGCCAAAAATGTTCATGTGAATCAGTGTTATTTTTGTGCTAACATCCTACTAGGATCCCATAGGACCACTAGCAGAAATTAGAAGTATTGTAGATATATTTTTTCCTTGTTTATGGCCCAAATTGAAGGCCTAGCTCTAATACTAGCTCTAAAATGGTTCACCACTGAGTTACACCAATCACAATCCAGCATCCTGCAGTGAAAGGTAGTGTTTACAAATAGCAAGTGCGTGTCAGAGCTAAAAAAGTGAAGAAGGGAGAGAGATGTCAGGCATGATTTGAGGGGTTCCAGGCTGTGTGTACAGCTACATGCATTCCAACAGCAATGCACTCTCCACTTATGATTCACAATATAAACAGGAAACATAGACCAAATGCATTTACAACACACTTGTGAAGTCTGAAGGATTAGATGAAGTTCAGTACCGTAAAGAGTCTCTACCCTAGAGTCCCATCAATGCACTGTATATAATGTGCTGAAAGCAATGTTTCAGCTCTGTTTGAATGTGTGTTCTGAACCTGCATATCACTCATGGAGTGGATTTGGCAAGCAGGCTTAGTGGAAATGCACACCCTCAACATGGTCAGACCCAGTTTGCATGCATATGTTATGCATGCAAACTGTTAGGAAACTATTCAGAATCTGAAACACATCTGGGGTCTGTACCCCTAATTACTTGTATACATTTATGTACAAACACAGGGTTTAGTCAAGCTCCTTCACAATCGATCATAAGCCAACCAGACTGCTCAGCTGTCACACTCCACACTACAAACTACACAGCAACACTGCTTTAGGTGGTGTACTGATTTTGATGTGATTTGGAGGAACGTCTGGAACACTCTCTCTCGCTCTCTTTCTTTCTTCACTGTTACTTAGTGTTACAGACCTGCAATCACAGATATGTTTTTTT